CCATCCATCATCCATCCATCCATCCATCCATCCATCCATCCATCCATCCATCCATCCATCCATCCATCCTATATAAACAGCTCTACCAACATTTAGGTCATTTCTTCTAGTTTCAAACACACTGAATCATAAATCAGCAAATCCTTTTTTCTGCTCTTATTCCAACTGTAGCTCCGTGTTTTAAAGGCATCAGGACTCTTCTACCTCCTGGGGCAAATATCAAACTTTTCATCTATCAAACACTCCTCTTCCACGCGTGTGTGTGTGTCCGATCGCCGACGGCCACCGGGAAGCGATGTTTGCCGATCAATCAAACTGCCTTCGGTCAACAGATTTATCATTTGCAGTCAACAGCAGGGAGGGAAGGTGCAGAAATAAATTGGCAGTTTCTCAGCGGAGGTCAGCTGAGGCGGGAGTTGCAGGTGAAAGCTCCGTTTATAATTACACTAATGGATTAAGATCTAAAACAGCAAAGGTTACAGTGAGCTCCCATTATTTATCCTTTAACGAGAGACGACACAGCTGCCCTTCTCTCCTCAACCATTTATCCATTTTCACACGCACTCACAGGGAGCATCCCCGAACAAGACAAAGGGTGTTGCATTGCAGTGGCATTGCAGCAAAACGGATTATTGCTCCTAAATCTACGAAGCCTCAGCTAAGGGTGTCATATTCTACCAGCCGGCACAAAAACGCAGGTAAAATCCAGAGACGGCCGAGCTGAGGGTAGAGCTCAATGTCATTAGGACTTCAGCGGGCGCCATGCGGGGAAGGAGGGACGGCGAGTTTATCGCCTGCAGGCCGCAGATTTCATTCCAGCAGATGAAACAAAACAATCGGACGAAGGTGGAGAAATAAACAAATTCTTCCTCTGAGGAGGCTTAATATGTTACTAAAAGGTCACAACAATATTTGTCTCCTGCAGGTTGTGGATAATTTGTCTGAAGACGGGGTGATAAAGGAAAGGTTAGGCTGAAACATCCCCCCCCCCAGCAAAGTAAAAAGATGTTTTATGACAAAAACCAGGCAGCTGGGAGGGAGAGAAGCAAAGCAAAGGGGAGCGATGGCTTTTAAAGTTGGTCATAATTTCAACTGTCCTTTGGAAAAACTGCAGCTTTGCAAAAATAAAAGTTAAAACTGACCAAAAGATCATGAAAAACACAGAAAATGTCTTCCTGACTGCGGCTTTGGTTTATAAATCTGCATCATCAGGACTGCAGGATGGAGGTTCGGGTCACAGAACAACACAAAGATGGCAGAAGAGAAAGTTTAAAACTTTATGGCCTCTAAACCAGATAAACACATTGTCCACACGGTGGTGGCAGCATCATGCTGTGGGGATAAACTTTCTACGACATGTGGAGTTAGGAAGCTGAAGAAGAGGCTCAACAGGTTCATTAGGCAATACTAGGCAGTTACCAAGGGCCCCATGTTCCTGGGGGCCCCATAAAACACTTTAAATTATGTTTTTAATAAAATCCTTTGGCTAAAATGCCATCAGAACGCTGAAACCTTCAGTGTCCACTAGGGGTGGATATTGCCAAAGGAGTCACGATTCGAATCACGATTCACAGGCCACGATGCGAATCTATCGCGATGCCTCACGATACTTGAATTAT